AAAAAAAAAAAAAAAAAAAAAAAACGATACCCATAAGACAGAACTGCAAAGGACTCTTCTCTCTCGCTGTACCGCTTGTCATCAGCAAATGGAATCCTTGTAACAGAAAAATGTGCAGATTCTGAATTCATTAGGTTTCCAGTCGGATGCACAGGGTAGATAACACTCACGCTATGTTCTACAGTGAATTGCAAATGCAGATGGATAAGTCCTTGTGATGCCAATTTATTCACAGCTAGCGGATACATTAAACTCGAGAACACAAAATACATGAGTGACCAATTCGGACAACGTTCGGTGGATTAAATGCAAAAATGTTTTTTGTTAAGGAACAATTCGCATTACCTCAATCTGATGAAAATTTCGAAGAAATATGGCACTTGTAAATTAGAATGCAACTCAGATCGAAGTCATCTGATCTTCAGGCCGTATCCCAAGTTGAATATTGCAAAGTATTGAGCCAAAACTTATCTTTCAAGGGAATAAAAGCAGTAATTGCACTGATTCATGATTGGGTTCTGTTGAACCTTGACTGAAATGGGAACGCCAAAATTAACAAACTGCTCGTTGTGAGATTGGTCGGAATGGGGCGCGATAAGTGCGGAACTGACTCAGAATATTTTTGAACAGCGGTTTCTGTGCAAAATTCGAATTTTGTACAAAACACAAGTTGGAGTTCAGTGGTAGTCGCTGAATGATCAATTCCCAAAAAGCGCTTTTTTTTTGTTACAATTCCCTGAAGGAATGTCCGTTGCGCGATTAAAAGTCGGTATAAGCAATTAGAGGCTCAAGGTTTGAGCGGGCGGACACTCGGAAGCGCGGATGGTGGGGAGCTGGAAAGAGAGGGGGTCAGGTTTTTGCGCTACAGCGACGATATACGCATCTATGGTTATAGGGGGAGCACTGATAACCAGTTTAGTTGACCATGGCTAGTAATAATTCGTTTATAAACACATTTACTGGTGCTCAGTTGAAACAAAGCTGCTTTGTTAGGTGGTCGCCTGATATTTGATTCCCATTTGAAATTCGCGCGCTGAAACGAACGATCATGATTGCCGTATTTCTGTTGCTACTGGCTTTTATTCCGGAGTATCCAGCAATTTTGTTCGGTGGAGGAGGCGGTTGTGGATGCCAGCCAGCATGTCCACCACCTCCGCCGTGCCCACAGCTTACTTTGCCATGTCCACCACCGCCACCATGCTTCTGTCCCCCACCACTGCCACCACCACCTTGTCCATGTCTCCCGTGCCCTCCACAACCGTGTTGCAAGCGTAAGAAGCGTTCTTCGATGGCTGCTATTACTGCTGAAAATAGGACCAGTGGCGAAACACTTTGCAACAATAAACAAATCCGTAAAATTATTTTTAAGGTATGTTATCTTTGACAGTAGTAAGCAATGTGCTTGTTACCTTTTACTGTTTTTGTGTTTATTCATTGCATTTTCCCCTTTCCTGGAATAATACGGAGTTATTAAAATAAGAACAAAAAAGATGCCGTAGCAGGTGAGAAAGAATGAGTATCTACAAACTACGAATGCACTTCTGTCCTATGCGATTCAAGAAGTTGTGCGTCAATTGAAAATCCTATTCAGTCTGTTTGCTCATTGAAATGCGCTTAAAATCTGGCAATACTCAGTGGCAATATGTTTCCTGATTTTATAGGCAGGCTTTCTTTTGGAACTAAACGAATATCAGAGGGTTTTTCAGCCTTTTCGATAAAAGCTGAGATTTTTGGGTTAATATGGTGGAAATTGAGTTTCATCTTGCTTTAATTAGAACTCCAGTCACTAGCATTTCCATCAATCGCAGATCTGTTAGTGAACTGTTTTTTCGTACATTGAAAACCTGCGCATCTTTCACAGCAATACTTATGCGTAAGTTGCAATATCAATTTATCATAAAAATATCCGAGCGGTTTCTTCGTTTTGTCAGCTGCGACGTAAGGCCGTTAGCTTTGTCTTTTCTATGCACCCGATAACTTGGCGATGCGAGTCCGAACAATTTGCAAGGTTTTGTGCCTGGAGCCAATATAACATTGGCGTGATTTTTTCAAGCTGCAGTGTTGGAATTTTTCACCTTTGAAAATTTAGGTCTACGCTTTTTAATTTCTTCAAAACCGAGTAAATATTACTTCTTTTCATCTACCTTACACTGACGTGTGTGATTAAATAAAATACTGGCTGAAGAGCATCTTGAGGCAGTTCATTTGGATGGTTATGGCCACACGCATTGGACACTACTAGTTCGAGCTAGAGGGGAACCAGGCTAAAAATAGAACTAAATAGTCTGAAACAGCAGAGCCCTACGCAACTGCTCTCGGTCAGTAGCTGCTATATTTCGGCAACTAAACCCTCACATCACCAGTCTACTCGGGTTATCATGACGCCGATAATCTAGCATTGTAATGATAAACACTTATCAGTAAGAAGTGAAAAATTTCAGATAAATGTCGTGTAAAAATATTACTAACTTTTTGAAGAAGTTAAAACATTTTTAAGACCTTAAAAAAATTTTATAACCGCTCGTTGGCTAACTTTTTGTTTGGATGCACCACTGGCAAAATGTTAGTACACGCACGGGAAACAAGGACGTGGATTTAGTCGCTCAAAAACATTGTTAGTATAGGCACGAAAAAAAAATGAATAGAGCACCCTGCTAAGTTAAACTAAACAAATGAGAAGCCACTGTCGGTCAGCTCACTGACCAGCTTCTAAAGATTGAAAATTTCCTACCCAGCCTGACGTTGGAAATAACAATAGCAGCCGAATTTTGTATGCTAACCCTTTCTTCCTCATCTACTCTCTCGGATAGGTCAAAGTTATCTACATGGATAACTGCTGCCAGGAAGGACATCCGGAATACATGCTTCACAAAAATATTTTTAAAACTGTTTCTGCGGCTTCGCTGATTACTTAGGGGCAATTTGTACTCGTAATCTAACTTAGGAACTAATAATAATGTTGTCACCATTATTACTGTTATTGTTATTATTATCACTATTATTATTATTATTATTATT